CTGAACAGTCATTAGTCACTGAACAGCCATTGGTCACTGAACAGCCATTAGTCACTAAACAGTCATTGGTAACTGAACAGTCATTAGTTACTGAACAGGCATTAGTTACTGAACAGTCATTGGTCACTGAACAATCATTAATCACCGAACAGCCATTAGTCACTGAACAGCCATTAATCACTGAACAGTCATTAATTACTCAACAGCCATTAGTCATTGAACAGCCATTAGTCACCGAACAGCCATTTGTCACCGAACAGCCATTAGTCACTGAACAGCCATGAGTCACTGAACAGCCATTAGTTACTGAACAGTCATTAGTTACTGAACAGCCATTAGTCACTAAACAGTCATTGGTCACTAAACAGCCATTAGTCACTGAACAGCCATTAGTCACTGAACAGCCATAAGTCACTGAACAGTCATTAATTACTCAACAGCCATTAGTCATTGAACAGCCATTAGTCACCGAACAGCCATTTGTCACCGAACAGCCATTAGTCACTGAACAGCCATTAGTCACTGAACAGCCATTAGTCACTGAACAGTCATTAATTACTCAACAGCCATTAGTCATTGAACAGCCATTAGTCACCGAACAGCCATTAGTCATTGAACAGCCATTAGTCACTGAACAGCCATTAGTCACCGAACAATCATTAGTCACCGAACAATCATTAGTCACCGAATAGCCATTAGTCACCGAACAGCCATTGGTCACTGAACAGCCATTAGTCACCGAACAGTCATTAGTCACTGAACAGTCATTAATTACTGAACAGCCATTAGTTACTGAAAAGTCATTAGTTACTGAACAGCCATTAGTTACTGAACAGTCATTAGTTACTGAACAGTCATTAGTCACTGAGTAGCCATTAGTCACTGAACAGTCATTAATTACTGAACAGTCATTAATCACTCAACAGCCATTAGTCACTGAACAGCCATTAGTCACTGAACAGTCATTGGTCACTGAACAGCCATTAGTCACTGAACAGCCATTAGTCACTGAACAGCCATTAGTCACTGAACAGCCATTAGTCATTGAACAGCCATTAGTCACCGAACAGCCATTTGTCACCGAACAGCCATTAGTCACTGAACAACCATTAGTCACTGAACAGCCATTAGTTACTGAACAGTCATTAGTTACTGAACACCCATTAGTCACTAAACAGTCATTGGTCACTGAACAGCCATTAGTCACTGAACAGTCATTAGTCACTGAACAGTCATTAGTTACTGAACAGTCATTAGTTACTGAACAGTGATTAGTTACTGAACAGTCATTAGTCACTGAACAGCCATTAGTCACTAAACAGTCATTGGTAACTGAACAGTCATTGGTAACTGAACAGTCATTAGTTACTGAACAGGCATTAGTTACTGAACAGTCATTGGTCACTGAACAATCATTAATCACCGAACAGCCATTAGTCACTGAACAGCCATTAATCACTGAACAGTCATTAATTACTCAACAGCCATTAGTCATTGAACAGCCATTAGTCACCGAACAGCCATTAGTCACTGAACAGCCATGAGTCACTGAACAGCCATTAGTTACTGAACAGTCATTAGTTACTGAACAGCCATTAGTCACTAAACAGTCATTGGTCACTAAACAGCCATTAGTCACTGAACAGCCATTAGTCACTGAACAGTCATTAATTACTCAACAGCCATTAGTCATTGAACAGCCATTAGTCACCGAACAGCCATTTGTCACCGAACAGCCATTAGTCACTGAACAGCCATTAGTCACTGAACAGCCATTAGTCACTGAACAGTCATTAATTACTCAACAGCCATTAGTCATTGAACAGCCATTAGTCACCGAACAGCCATTTGTCACC